TCAAACTACTCTACAGTTTGGACCAGACTGAGAGAGAATCTGGGCTAGGAGTGGTCGGGCACGAGTATTTGTAGATTTCCTCTCGCTCTTGGACCAATCAGGCTGTGATAAAACCCACGTGTGACCATTCCCTCCTCCCACTCTGGAGAACTTCTCTGTGACAGCATCTATTCTTTAGAATAGCATCCAGCCAGACATTACTTTGGTTAAGTTTAAACCCTTGGTTTTCTCTTAAGGCCTTGGTTTAGGAGTTGAGTGGGCCCTCTTTGAATCAGCTGTAATATGATAAGAAGTTATGTTGTCCTTCAGATAATGGTTGTTTTTATACAATGTTGTTTCTTTTAATTTGTGAAACCACCTAGAGTCATTTTGGAATTCGGCAGACTAAACATTCAACAACAAAAATAAACTAACAAGGTGCCATGGATTTAATTCAACTGCTACATTAATTACTCTTTTTATGCACCCATATCAAAATGTAGGTTTCAAATGTATACACTGGCAATGCATAATTTAGGGTAGTTGTGTTTTCGGTCTTTGACTTTCCTTACCTCAATTTCACAAATTCATCCTTATCCTCATAAATTATTAGGTAATTCTGGGCACCATCTAAATATAATGTATTCTCACTTAATTTAATCTACTGTATCTTTTTTTTCTGGAGAAAAAATGTACTTTTTCAACAAACATCAAACAGATAAGCAAGAGAATGCCTGTGTTCTGGAGTAAAGTCAAATTTGGTAGGCAGGCTTGATGCTACATATCAAATCGAGCCAATAACTAAAATTTATATTTAAATCCATTAAAACAATAGTGATTATTGCACATGAATTAGCAACTGACTTATATTTATGACACTTGTAGTGCCCCATGGTCATGTGATCACCTTTTATAACCTTCTGACAAGCAAAGTCAATAGGGGAAGTCAGATTAACTTAACAACCATGTCGCTTAATAACTATAGTAATTCATGTAAAACTGTGGCAAGAAAAATCATAAAATGGGGCAAAGCTCCAAATGTATCACTTATCAACAGAAATTTGACGCTCAATTGAAGTTATAAATCAAGAACTGCCTGTGTATCCCATTTATTTTCACATATACTATAAGGCCAGCTATACATAAACAAACACATTTTAACTGGAAAATGTGCCACTTGTGGATTATCCAATTATGAAAATTAAAATTTATGAAAATTCCAAAGATTGGCTTATCCTCAGGTGGTATTTTTCATGGCATTTTGGTTAAAAATTTGTTGGTCAACATATTTGTGCATAGATTTACATATAACAGTAATGATTTTCTATTTCCATCAGGCAAACAATTGCAAAATCTGTAGCTACTTTTGGAGGGGTTCTGGCTAGCCAGACCAAGCCTTTGTGGGAACAATGTATGACACGTTGCTATGCACCTCTATCCTAGAAAACCATTTCACTGTTGGACCTAATGCCTACAACAGCTCTCCAAGTCTATTTTCCAAAGGCTGAAAATGTAATTCAACCAACTTCCTGTACTCTATGATATATTTCAGGAAATGTGTAAATCACTTCAGAAATGCCAAGGTCAATCTGTACCAAGTAAAAGCACAACATTCCAAAGCTGAATCACTCCACTTTGGACAAATAATTTTGTGGCTAAACTGAAAGTACATTATTCTGTTTTGAATATCATGAAATTAGCAATACATCTTAAATAATGCCAGAGTTACATAAATCAACACTTACATAACTTGTGAATTGCCTTTATATTAGTTTGTGATAAAATATGTATCATTTTTTATAATAAAATCAAGTAATATAATGAACACTGAAAGCATACTTTATGTAATTTATACAGTCAAATATTGTGGGTCTGGGTTATTTCACCAAAAAGACAAGCAAACTTTACTTATTTGGATATTTTCAGTTTTGTAATATTATGAAAGAATTCTGATGAAAGAATTAGCAAGTCTTCACATGCTCACTTTACTCCAACATATCTTCAACAACTAATTTGAACATGTTGGTGCTGCCATTTCAAAGGCCTGTACTACTTTTGAACCATTCGCAAATATTTAGTTGACATGCCTGTGTATGCTTCAAAAATTATTTTGTACAAGTTTTTACAATTCACAACAATGCTGTTAATTAAAGCACATCATTTTCTTTCAGATGCTGTCTCTTTAAAAGTAATGCAATTCAAAAAGAATCATGCAAAGCTGTATTAGATGACATGCTGTACAAGCTTTTCATATGCAAGGGAGCTTATGGAAAATGGGTTGGATAGAAAAAATTAATAATTATAATCAGCCTAAGTAAAAGGATTATACAATACGCAGGTAGCTGCACATATAAATTACATTTGAGGTAATAAAATACAAAATTATGTTTTCCAAACAAAGAAATTAAATCATACTACTGTATAACTCAATTCTCCACAGGTTACCTCAGGGACAAGTTTTGAGTTTTTAGAACTATGTTCCCTTAAATGCAGAAAATTAATTACTTTTTTAAAAATAAACATCTTCCAATAAATTCCTAGGTTTAAGAAACATAGATCATACAATATATTCTTACAGAAATCACAATACATTTCATGAAGTTAAATATTTGGGACAGCAACATTAAGCAAGATAATAACACTGATTTATCTCACTTGTCTCATAAGTTAAATAGATTTATGTATTGAAACTCTTATTTCAAACTTGCTACCTATTCTTAACAACTCACTCTCAAATAATTAAGCAAGATAGACACTTTGATTCAGTACCAATTACCTTCCCACCCTCAGGTTCTAGATCTAAAGTCAGGACATATTTCCCCATCTCCTCTGTAAATACAATTCGTAATACTAAAAAGGCACATTTTTACTAAGAAAATACAGAAACCAATTTTTTTTAAATGCAAGTCCGTTCTGGAAAAATATAGTAATTTCCTTGATTTTCTGAGTCATGGTCGTTGAGATCAAGATATTTGGAAAAACAAATGAATTCGATCTCCTCCTGATTTCCTTTAGTTTCTGTTTCAAATATTTTTATGACAATATTTTTATATATATTTTGTCTGTTCTGAAAAGTAGCAGCTTCTTGCAGAATGCAAACTGGAATTCTCAAGATTCCACCAAATCTGCAAGGGTCACACAAGTATTTTGATGACTTTCAAAGTCATGTTGACTTTCAGTATATTTCTTTTATAGAATTACTCATAAAATTAAACAAAAAAAGTTCCAGTTATATCAAAGCTGTTACAATAACATCTTTCAAACTGAAAAGAGTTTGACTACAACTGCTTGAGGTCTAGCCAAGAATCCCCGAATCCTCTGATTTTTAAAGACTTAACTGTATATAGAGATTTAATATTTTTACACCCTCTTTTTATGTTTTTGTCAGTTAACAAATAAGGTGCAATGTCTGGGAATATATCCTTACTAAGATATAAAAATAGTTATCCATACATTATCTCATCCAAATGTGTTGAACATCAGCATGTGTCCTAAATTTAGTACAAAATATCAGATTGCTACATTTCGTCACTAGCAGGCATTGCGCCCGAAGCTATTCCTAGGAGACTGCAGAATTTAAATTTTGTTTTGCTATGAACAGGAGACTGTATTTTCAGATGCATCTCCTCTATTTCACTGTCATACATAGAGACAAAACACATATTATTTCAAATTCCTCGGAGATCATTATTTGCCCAAGTATTTGCAGTGTTTCGCACATTCCAGCAAGGACTAGCCGGAAAATAAGAATTCTCTGGTGAAAATTTCCTCATAACATTTTTCAAACACAAAGCAAAACAAAAAAGCTTGTTCTTCTAACACCAACACACAAAAGTAACCTGGCAGCCACCAAAAGAAAATAGGGAAATGTTTCACACATGCCATTTTTTTAAATATTGGGTACTTACATTCTGCGCTCACAAAATAGGCACTGAGTTTAGAGAGAAAAAGATCACTGGGAAGCTGAAGCATTTGAAAGTCATAGAACGATTAATAGATCCCCCCCCCCTTTCTCTAACTTATTTCAGTGGAGAGAGTGAAGAGCAGGGAGGACAATTTTTTTTTTGTTTCACTTTATTTTAGGTCGTGACAGGTTGATAGAGTGAGATGATAGCACAGCTGCAACTAAGCTCCGTTACCCTGCAAACTATCCTGTGGCAAGTATAGAAGTTTGTCATCAGCAGTCTGTTCTGTCTTAAAAAAAAATAGAAATATCTAGCCATCATAACTCTGAATTATCTGAATAAAGCTGAGAGGGGTCATTCCCTACAGACACTAAGCTGACAATTCTGTAGGACATGGGGGGGGGGCTGCTAAACTTGCATTTAGGGAACACAGCAATTTCAGAAAGATTGAGGGGTCAGTGAGGGAAACACTACAAGCCATGGCCATGAACAAGACCCATCTCTTCACAAACCTAGTGAAGACAGGCTTGAACATTTGACACTTCCTACCCAGCTGAGTCCCATTACAGACTCCAACTTTATCAAAGCATATTTTCAATCAAAACATGCTGGCCGTTTTAAAACGAAAGTAACAGATACATAGTTTAGTGGAGGTGGTGGTACTTCCTTGCTTTTTCTGCACCTTTACTTGGGGTCACTTTTAGGTACAGTACGCCACAGCATGGGCTTTTTCTTGTCCGGTCCGTCTTTTTTAAAGGTTGAAAACTGTCATTCTGAAAGAGACGCGTCTCCTACTCAGTGTAACCTCACCGGTTCGCTTTTTGAACAGCGAAGGCATAAAACAGTTTTCTAATTTCTCCAGAAATTAAAGATATTGCGGGGGCGGAGAAAGAGACAGGAGGAAATCCGTCAGAAGGTACAAAAAAAACCAACCACCCTGCTCTCCTTACACCGCAAATGCAACGTTTGTGGGGGATTGGGACGCGGTGCTTATGCAGCCCGTCTTTGGGGCCACCACGTCCCCGCACAACCTTTCGGGAGGGCGAGAGTGTGGGGAAGGGGCACGCTGGTCGGGCAAGCGGGCTCTTTTCAGCCCGGCCAAGCGTTCGAACTTCCCACTCCCGAGACCCGGGGGCAGGCCGCGCGCCTGTGCGCGCTGGCGGTGCAACTCAAGCCAAGAAAGAGAAGGGCCGCGCTTCCCTTTGGCTCATCTGCATGCTGGCCCGCTCCGCTTCTCCCATCCAAGGCTGCTGCGCCATCGAAGGCCCGGCAGCAGCCCCACTAGTAGGGGCGCCTCCGGCTCTGCCCATCCGGTAAAGCAGGGAAGGGAAAGCAAAAAAAAAAAAAAAAAGAGCCAGCGAGTGAAGTTTGGTGGTTGCACGCCGCGTGCCTTGCTTTCTCGGTCGCTCTCTCTTTCTCCATCTCCATCCCGTAGGCTTCCTACCGTTTTTGGAGTCGCCCGAAGCCGAGCCCGTCGCCGCCGTCGCTCCGCCGGAGCTTCCTCCACCTCCTGCAGCCACCATGGGCCCGCTTGCTCCGACTGCAGCCACAGCGGCCAGGACTCCTCCGGCGCCCACAGCTCCCGTCGCGGCCAGGGCTCCATTTTCCTGCTCGTCCCCGCTGCTGTTGGCGCGCTTGTTCTTCTTGCCCTTGTTACTCTTCTGGTTCGGCATCGCCAAGGGAGGAGGAGGAGGAGGAGCGGGTCGCAGCGGGAAGGCTGAGGAGGCGGCGGCGGAGGCTCTTGGTGGCAGTGCTGCTACCTCTGGTGCTGCTGCTGCTACCACCGCCGACCCCCGCCTATTGCAGCTCCATTGTCAGGCGGAGCAGCACACTCGTCCTTCGCTCACGCACCGCGGCCCCGTCGCATGCACGCACGCTCACACTCACACACACTCACACGCGCGGGCGCGCGTCCACAGACGCCTCGCCGCGGAAGAAATGCAAGCCAGGGAAAAGGCGTGTCTCGCTTGTTTTGATTCTGCTGCTCCCTCGGCAATGCTGGGCTCCCCGCCCGCTTCCTCCTCCACCCCCACCCCTTCTCTCGCGCCTGCCAGGCCTTGGCGACGGTGTTAAGCAAAGAGCAAGTGAAAGGAAGGGAAGAGGAAGGCGCGGCTCAGAGGTTGGACTTGCGACAGCAACGAGGAGGCGCTTAAGCCTTGCCTTCGGATTTAGGAAAGCCGCCTTTCCTCTCCCGGAGCTTCTTGTTTACAATGACGATTGGATTTCCTCCAGATGTCAACAGGGGCTAGGCCCGGTACACGGGAATAAAGCAAGGGAAGGGAGTTTGGGTAAAAACTCCTAATCCGATTAGCGGCTAATCTCTCAGAGTGGACGTTTCCTTTCTCTCGCCGGACATGAGATGAAGCGCGTTGGGTTAGGCCAGAAGGTGAGTGCAGTTCGACCAGATCTTTGTACTGTTATTTGCGCGAGTGAGAGGCAGGTAGGCAAGTATAAATGCTGGCCATACGCTGGTAAATCTCGACACAACTTCAGAGTAGAAGAATTCCTTTGGAGTTCCACCCCAAAACGTTTGCCAAGGGAAATGGGCCAGTAAATGAAAGGAAGACCGTGGCGAAAAGATAGAAACCGAAAGAAATGGACTACGTGAAAAAAATCCAATGGAGTATTAATTAAATCACTTTCAAATAGAATGTGCATATGATTTAAGGATTGAATGTATATTTTCCAATTGATGGATTGCTGTTTATTATTATGGTTATGGCCGTTATGATTATTATGCCATGTGATTGCAGCCTTACTTGGGAATCGAGTTTAAATGTGCATCTATTAACAGGGCCATATTTCAACCTGCCCATCCCAGTCATGCCATTTGGTGATGGTTTAGCAGTTGAGGGTGGAGTTGGGGAGAAAGTAACTACCAAGTCTGTTTCTTCATGCAAAGAATGGATTAAAATGTTTTTTTCCACAATAAAGCACAATCTTTACAAAACCTGACTTGAGTTTGGCCCTTTTGAAAAATAACTGCAGGTTTGGCCATGAAATAACAATGTTATCCTGGCTTTATTTCTCAATATTATTTCAGTATGGCTTTGAAATTTCAATGGAGACGTAACTTCTTACTGTGTTTAAGCCTTTCCAGATACGCAGTGTTGAGTTGTGTTTTGTATTTCTTTTTAAAAGAAAACACTGTAGCTGGATTGGCACTCTTCCAATCCAATACCCAGTAAGTCCTTGACTTACACCAGTCACTTAGAGATAATTATGGTGGAGCCCAGAACAAGGTACTTTGGACCCAGATTCAAAATCCCAGCAGCCACTCCCCCACAATAACATGATCCTATTTTGGGTGGTCAAAAACCTGACCCACATTTACAGCATTTGGAGCATCCTGCAAATATGTCCATATGTCCAATTACATTTTTGCCAGAAACCAGCATTTATTTCCAGTTTTTAGCAAAAAATGTCCCATAGAGACCAATGAGTTCACTAAATGACTGTAACATTCACTTAGTAATCGCTACAAAAAAAGGTAATAAAATCAGATATGGTCATGTGATAATTTACAACTGTAGTTGAGAGTCAGATAATCATAAGTCAAGGACTGCCTGTATAGTAAGCTGATATTTCAGTATTCAGTGTGTGGGTGCAGTTCATCAGCTCTTCTGCCAGCAGCTATGAAGTCTTGTATATCACTTTGTGGTTGAAAGTAAAATATCTACCTACCTGCCTCCCTATCCGAGCTGAGGTAGCGCAGAGGTTAAAATGCAGTACTGCAGGCTACTTCTGCCAACTGCCTACAGTTTGGCAGTTCAAATCTCACCAGGTTCAAGGTTGATTCAGCCTTCCATCCTTCCAAGGTCGGTAAAATGATGACCCAGATTGTTGGGGGCAATATGCTGACTCTACAAAACCACTTAGAGAGTGCTGTAAAAGCACTGTGAATAAGTGTTATTGCTATCTGTCATGTATCTACTTACTGAAGTACTTATGTATTTATCAAGTTTACATAGCTGCCCTGTCCCACAAAGAGACTCTGGGTGGTGTACAAAAAAACCAAAAGCAAAAAATTCTGTAGAAGCAGATTAAAAAAGAAAGAAAAACATCTCAAAGGGGAATGCATCAAGATATAATGTGATGTAACCAAAATATCTATCTGAATGCAGGGCAGCAGCCCACAAAGTTGAATAAACCATCTGTTTCTGATGTCTAATTAGAGAATAAGTTTATATAAGAGTTCCAAATCCTGTGTTTATCTGGCTAGTTTTACAAACCTTAATCTTTTGCTTTTCATCACACAATTTTAGTTCAGACTGGGAGCTTTCTTGTTATTATTTGACAAACATGGCAGGAAATCTGTTTGCTTTTTTATAATTAACTAGTTGAGAACCCAATGTTGACTGGGTATTTATTTATAGGGGGAAAACGTCCGGACCAAACGTAATTTCTAATGTTGGATTTTTCCACTTACCAGAGAGAGACCTCTTGTGGAATACTGTGAAGCTGTTACAATGATAACTCCACTGCTCTGTACAATAGAAGCCATTTTACAGCAGTACCGTAGAAGCCACTTTAAGGTACAACAGGCTGTATCTTAACAGAACACATACCCCGAGGGATGTTAGTGGTGTCTTACACCCCACCCTTCCCCAGTATTTTTTTCCAGAGAATAAGTCATCTGTGTACCAAGTTTGGTTGAAATTGGTCGAGGCATTCCAGAGTTATGCTGGAACGAACACACACACACACACAGCCATTTATATATATAGAGAGAGATTTAAGATTCATTTATGGATGTATATGGTCAGTTTCAAAATTTATCAAGAAATATATCAAATTTATTTCATATCTGTTACTCTGGGCAGTCCTTGACTTGGAACCATTCATTTAGTGACTATTTAAAATTACAATGGCATTGAAGAAAGAGATTTACCATAGGTTCCATACTTAAAACTATTACAGCATCCTGATGACCACGTGAACAAAATTTGGTCACTTGGCATGTAGGAAATTAAAATTTCAAGGCAGACTTTGCTATGCCTGTCTGAAAAGAAGCAGAATGGCATTACAATTCATTCAAGTACTGTTTTGTTGCTGTTGTAAGCAATTGTTGAATTTCATTGGCAATCACATTTTTGACCTTTTAATACAGATGCATACATACCACGATTTGGAAATTAAACTAGATTATCTATCTGGGCTCCCAATATCTGTATTTCTGTAATTACTGTCTCTCAACCATTAGTCAGAGATAGAGCAGAGAGCTTGAAGAAAAGCCTTATCCCTCTGCCAGGAGAAAAGTACTACTGAGAAACTGTATTCTGGCTTCTAAGGAAGAATATAATAGCAAGAAAAGCCAAGATTGGTCCCCTCTGGTAACCAGAGAGAAAACTCAAATTTTTACTTTGTTATCAAATAGATTCATAGAATCACAAATTGAAGGGATTGGAAGGAATCTTGAAAATCCTCTGGTTCCCTGGCCAGTGCAGATTTTGTGACTATAGTGTCCCTGACAGAGTTGCCATCCAGCCCTTAAATCAAGATGGAACCAGTGAAGGAAAGGCTTATCATCTCCCAAAGCTTTGTGATGCTGACAGTAGAGGCTGTAAATCCATTACTTGTTTAGTTACTTAGTTCCATTCCCAACAACCAAGTCCTTAAGCAAAATGATTACTGAGAGAGAGGAGAGGGAGGGAGGGAGAGGGAGGGAAGGAAGGAAGGAAGGAAGGAAGGAAGGAAGGAAGGAAGGAAGGAAGNTTGGGGGCGATATGCTGACTCTGTAAACCGCTTAGAGAGGGCTGAAAGCCCTATGGAGCGGTATATAAGTCTAACTGCTATTGCTATTGCTATTGAGTAACCTTGGACTGATCCCCTTGTCTCTTAGCCCAGCTCGCCTCCCAAGCTGTGTCGCTAAGAATGATTTATTCCAGGGGTCTCCAACCTTGGCAACTTTAAGCCTGGAGGACTTCAACTCCCAGAGCTGGGGAATTCTAGGGGGGTTGAAGTCCTCCAGGCTTAAAGTTGCCAAGTTTGGAGACCCCTGATTTATTCAATTTATAAAGTTGCCAAGTCAAAACGCCACAAATGCTCATCCGACGGGGTTAAACCCATGCAAGCATTCCCCTCTGTTTACCCCCAGAAATTCCCGTTGCTAAGCGAGGAGGTCGCGCAGCGAGTCATGCCCAGTTTTCTTTCAACCCTCTTTTGCCCCCCGTTGTTAAGATAATCACGGCGGTTGTTAAGTGGATTACGCAGCCGTGAGACGAATCTGCCTTCCCCTCAATGACTTTGCTTAGTTGGAAACCAGCTGCCAAGGAGATTTTACAGGATGCTGCCAACGTCTTAAATCCATTTTAATTGCTTTGTTATCAAGGCCTGAATTTTGACGGGACTGTAAGGATTGGCGGTCCTAAGTTTGAGGACTGGCTGTCAGTGGCTTTTTTCCCCTGAGGCTGTTGTAATTTTGACTGTTTGCTGAGCGAACGTTCGTAACTCGAGAATTCCCCACAAAGGAGAAAAGAAGGGGAAAAAATTTAGTAGTAGAATAGAATGAAGTTTGGTAAATATAGCCAATGGTATATATAGGCAATAGGATGTGGGGGGAATAGATTAATCCTATTAATTGTGGAAATTAATTAAGTGAAAGGTTTAACTGTATAAAATTAAACTTGAGGATATACGTTACTGATAATAGATGGAAATGATATGTTGGATTTGATTAAATTGGAGAGGCAAAAATATTACAATACAATACAATAGCAGAGTTGGACGGGACCTTGGAGGTCTTCTAGTCCAACCCTCTGCCTAGGCAGGAAACCCTATACCGTTTCAGACAAATGGCTATCCAACATCTTCTTAAAGACTACCAGTGTTGGGGCATTCACAACTTCTGGAGGCAACTTCTGTTCCACTGGTTAATTGTTCTCACTGTCAGGAAATTTCTCCTCAGTTCTAAGTTGCNCATGTAAAAATGCAAGTAGAAAAATAGGAACATGTTTGGTGGGAAGGTAACAGCGTTCCGTGCGCCTTTGGTGTTGAGTCACACCGGCCACATGACCACGGAGACGTCTTTGGACAGCGCTGGCTCTTCGTCTTTGAAACGGAGAGAGGAGCAATGCCCCCTAGAGTTGGGAACAGATGTGCGAGGAGAACCTTTACCTTTCTACATTTTTTTAAAGAAAAAGCAAAATAGGACTCACAATGCTGGGGTTCCAGGACAGCCAGAACACAGTGGATTTTAAAGGTGCTTTTTGGGGATGCCACAACTTTTGTGTGCACACCTCTGGAGACCTCTGGGATGATGGACTTCTTCCTTGGTGCCTAACAAAGAAGTCCATCCTCGGAGTTTAACTCCTGGACCAACTATGAAACATCTCCCGTACCTGTCGCTCTTCCCCCTTCGCTCCCGAGAGACCATCAAGCGTGAGGATGGGAAGACAAAACGATGGCTTGGGGTTGATTTGTCGCTAAGAAACTCACCTGAGATTGCTTTCCAGAAGACGGTGGAGCTGACCCTTCGAGACAACTGCCCAACTGACCGGGCTATATAGTTTTCTTTTCAGGAAAAATTCTAGAATATGCTGTTGAGTTCCTATAGCAACGGGCCTGGGGGGGAATCAACCTGACACGTTCTGGTCCAACGCTCTTGGTAGCTTCTGGACATCTGGCGTGGAGTCAGGACTTTGGGGGGGGGGGAAACCAAGAGTTGAATCAAGAGGAGGAGAATCCTCTTCTCTTCCGGCTGGTCAGCAACCTAAACAACCTGGGTCTGTTGACCCTGAAGACGGACTCCTTGTGGGGCTTCATCCTGGAAAGAAGACCTGAAGGGACTCTTGAGAACTTCTCAAGAGGGTGAATGGGTTGGGACAGGCAGGGATTCTGTTCCTCAAGGATGCAGAACAAGAGAGTTGGAAGGGACCTTGGAGGTCTTCTAGTCCAACCCTTTCCTCCAGCAGAAGACCCATTCTGGACAAATGGTTGTCCAATCTCTTCTTTGAAAAAAAAACCTCCAGTGATGGAGCACCCACAGCTTCTGGTGGCAAGCCGTTCCACTGGTTAATTGTCCTCACCGTCAGGAAGTTTCTCCTTCATTCTAGGCCGCTTCTCTCCTTGATTAGTTTCCACCCATTGCTTCTTGTTCTACCCTCAGATGCCTTGGAGAATAGCTTGACTCCCTCTTCTTTGGGGCAGCCCCTGAGATATTGGAAGACTGCCATCATGTCTCCCCTAGTCCTCCTTTTCACTAAACTAGCCATGCCCAGTTCCTGAAACCGTTCTTCTTCTTATGTTTTAGCCGCCAGTCCCCTAATCCTCTTTGTTGCTCTTCTCTGCCCTCTTTCCAGAGTCTCCACATCTT